CATATTCTGAAATTCGCACGTCAATGATATGCGTTGTTGCTTATTTCGTTTCTGAAGAAATTGATGATTTGAAGATGGAAGTAACGAGGAATTGTAGTTCTCCGTTTGGTTTTAATGAAGTTGACTAAGCTATTGCAATGACCAAAATCGACCTAATCTGTAGTTTATGGTGCTGTTTTCAATTTCTAACCTCGATCTTTCGGGCATGAAATTTTTGTCTACACCATCAAACTAGCGACATATTCTTGTTATTCCTTGTTACTAATCTATTGGATTTCTTCAGTTTTATTTCCCCCAATTGTCATTACTGCTAAGCGGAGTAGCATGTGTGGATATCAAGCATTGAACTAGCTGCCGTTTTACGTTTGACTTTTAGCCGCTCTTGTAATCTAATCTGAGTAGGAATGGCTCTTCATTTTGTTACATATTATAGATAGTCTCCATGTTATTATAGAACAAATAACATGATTGATTTTCTCTTAATTCTTTTTTCATCGTTTTGTTTTGTTCTTGTTCTTGTTCTTGTTGCGTTGATCTACTGCTCTTCTGACTAGAACTTAAAATTACAGGATTGCTAAAAAGTACAGTAGTGCTGCTCTTTTTTGGGTTTTTGGCCTGGGGTTATCAGGCAATCCAGCCTCCTGCACCAAAAATATGTGGCTCCCCTGATGGTCCTCTTATCACAGCACCAAGAATAAAGCTTAGAGACGGTAGGTATTTGGCATACAAGGAGCATGGGGTTCCAAAAGCTTCAGCTAAATTCAAGATTATCTATGTCCATAGCTTTGGTTCTTGCAGACACGATGCCATTGTTGCAAACACCATCTCCCCGGTACCATCTATGATTCTCCCTTTAATGTTCTAATTGTTCTGGAAATGCTTATAAACACGCAATTGTAATCTCTATTGACATCTTGCAGGGCATAATTGAAAACCTAGGAATCTACTTTGTATCATTTGACAGATCTGGTTACGGAGAGAGCGATCCAAATCCGAAACGAACTGCGAAAACTATTGCTTTTGATATAGAGGAGCTAGCTGATGAATTGGGACTAGGATCCAAATTCTATGTTGTTGGGTTTTCCATGGGTAGTCAGGCTGTTTGGAGCTGTCTAAAATATATTCCTAACAGGCTTGCAGGGGCAGCACTATTAGCGCCAGTTATTAACTATTGGTGGCCTGGGCTCCCTGCAAACTTAACAAAGGAAGCTTTCTATCAGCAGTTTCAGCGGGATCAGTGGGCAGTTCGTGTTGCTCATTACACCCCCTGGCTTACCTACTGGTGGTATACACAAAAATGGTTTCCTTCTTCTAGTATTGTTGGATCTAATCCCAACATTCTATCTCGTCAAGACAAAGAACTCCAATCCAAGCGAGTGATCAGGGAATTATGTGCGGTATGTGAATTTTCTTTATGAAATTTTGGTTTCTACTTTTTGGATCTTATCTTATTCAACGCTGACTGTTTAAATGATAAAGATGGTGCACAATGGTGATTCCTATGCTCTTACATAAAATAAATAAAATTAAATTAAATTAAAAATCTTGGCCAAATCTGAGAGGTGGGATGGAAGTAAACGTGTGGAAAAATCAACGTCCTACCCTCAAGTGTTGGTTTGGTACATTCAGAAGTCTGCCATAAACAATGTTGAATTAGGAAAGGAGACAAATTATACATATGAGGGGGGAAATGCAGAGGCTATAAATACACGAGGATAACATTAGGTTTGCCAAACTGTTTGGTGGCACGTATAGAAGTGAGGCAAATTGATAGGAACCTTAGAACGCCCTTTCATTTTATGTATGTTAGGGTTGGTGGGAAAAGGATGGAGTGAGTAGTGTGATGGAATACACGGAGTGTGGATAGGAGTAGGTAAGAATAGGAACTGTCTTTTGTATTAGTGTCAAGGGGTTGGTGAATCCAATGGAATATATGGTAGGGGTGAGCACTACGACGAGGGTACGTATTTGTCCAGTAGACAGAAAAAGAGTACATAAGGATAATATAACAAGAGAGAGTGAAGGGGATAAAATGTACTGTTTGAGAGTAGTAGGAGACAAGATATCGGCATTTGGTGGCTTTTGGAAATTTAGATCTGGGTGGGAAACACCTCTCCACTCTCCTCGTGGGATTCCTTGATTACCACAATAGCGAGACTGTAAAGGACAGGAAAAAAGATTTACCGAGTATTTGAAGGAAAAGGTTTAAGGTTGAGTTGAATGAATCTTGAGTCTTGACTTCCGAATTACCTCGTTCAAGAAAAGAGCTACTGAATATGCTTTACCGAGTGTTTGAAGGTGAAGAAAAGAATAGATTCGAGACCAGCCATATGTCCTGTTCAGTCGATGTCTTGCTTCCCCTTGCAATGCCTTTACTGGGAGACAGGGAATGAAAAATATTCATCTGAACAAGTTTGGAAGGCATTAGTGAAGTATGTGAGGAATTCTGGATTGAATCCTGGTTAAAGGCTGTCTTCCTATGTTACAAAGCTTATAAATATGATCCTAGAATCAAAATAGTCAATTATGATAAGCCGAGAAAGAAAGGACGAAACTTTCAAGTTCTCGTACTTTTAGGTTTTATTTTAAAAAACGTAGTTATCAATTTAGATCCAAGCTTCAAGTTCGTGGTTAATAAGTTTTTAAACTTAAAAATGTGTCTTAACATTATCCCTCAAAACTAATCGATCATAGCTCATTGATAATTGGTATCTAGGAGGTTCAAATCACCGTACCCCCCTACCCCATATTTGTTGTACTTCTTTAAAGCTAAACTAGGGTAATTAGCTAACATTTTATCCTTGCATGAAATTCTCAGCATGTTTCTAGCCAACAAGGAGAACAGGAATCTATCCACAGGGACGCCATTGTTGGATTTGGGAGGTGGGAATTCAGTCCTCTGAATCTGGAAAACCCATTCCCAGAAAAAGAAGGTTCTGTCCATTTATGGCATGGAGATGAAGACAAGATTGTGCCTGTCACGCTTCAACGATACATTGCTAAACAGCTTCCTTGGATTCATTATCACGAGGTAGCAGGTGCCGGTCATTGGTTTCCCATAGCTGATGGTATGTCTGAATCCATCATTAAAGCTCTTCTTCTTAATGATAAATAGGCTTTTATTACAGCTTCTGCTGGGTTGGTGATTCTTCATTACTCCATTTTTGTCTCTCATCCTTGCCACTACATTGCATGAGATGACAACAATGGATACGTCTATCAACGTCTCTCTTACTGATGGTTGAAATTTAGGGTTCAAAGTGTGTAATTATGTCAAAGTGTGATGATATCGTGTTCGACCTTATCTTGTGTGCTCCTTGACTAATCTTATGAGATAATCACTTGAGACTACACGATACTTGATGGTTGGAAATTAGGTAGGATTTGAAAATCTTCCATATTTTTTCACTTGACCCACTATCACTCGGCCAACAAAAGATTATTTGCGGATGTTAGGATGATTTGCCGACAATTTTATACATAGGATATACGAGATAGAAATTTCAAATTTGTGTTTGACCATACGTCTAAGGGATAGGATAGGACTTCGGAGGAGAGCCACTATATTCTTTCCTATTAGAACCCGTCGAATAATATCTCAAACTATTATTTCAAGGAGAGAATCTAGATTCTAAGATGCATTCGATATGAATTTATACATAAAAATTGTTGTGGCAGGAATGACATTGAACTTAAATCTAAAAAATGTTAATAAATCATTCCTATTGCCGAAACCTCACCATAGGAGTGGGATTTTCAAAAAACCAAGGTCGCGGGTGGCCAAGAGAACTTACTATAATATGATTTTATTTATTTATTTATTTATTTTGTATATAAAAATTTATATTTGACCATAACTATCTTTTATCAATTAATTTAATTTTAGATTTGTATCACTTGGCTCAAATTGGTCAAATTGGTGTCTATAAATTTATTAGACATTAAATTAAAAAATTTATATTATTCAAAAAAAAAAAAAATTCTACAGACATTCTTAATAAAATAAAATTTTTAAAGATTTATTAATATTTTAAAAATAAAGAAATATATTAGATACAAATGTTCAAAATTAAAATTAATAATTAGTAATTTTTCATTTTAGTTTAAAAAGTGATTTTTGGTCTATGATTTCTCATACTTCGAGTAGACCTTCACATTATTATTTTTTTTATTAATCTGCATTCAACAAATTTTAAAAATATATTCAGTATATTATTTGTTAAAAAAAAAAAAATTATTATTATTAAAATAAAAAAATAAAATAAAATACACATAAAAAAAAACAGCTAAATAGTCAATTAAAAAGTACCACGTGCCTAGGCTTCAGCTATCCCCACTTGCATGCGACGATATCGCTATCCAAAGTACCCTCCAGATCACCTCTCCTCTATGTCATAACCCTAAAGCTGCTAAAATTACCCAGCATTCACCAATGAAACAAAACAACAGCTAACGTGGAAGATGCTCATTGACTTCCACAACTAAAGTGTGTAAGCTAGCTACACAGAATCTCCACCCAGCTTAGAGGCAAAAAAAATACGTGTTCGTTTACGAGAGTCCAGACAGTGTAAAAAAAAGCTAAACAGAGCCACGTGTCTTGCACGTGTCATGGACTTCGTAGATTGGCTCAAACAAAAGAAGAACGCCCTCCAATTTTCAAATCCTTAATAAAAAAATAAAAAATTAATCTCTTAACAAAATAAATAAATAAATATAATTTCTTACTTCGAGGAATTTAAGTAGTGGGCTCCACCTCTCTCATTTTGTCTCTGGCTCTTCCCCAAGACAATGTCATCAAAAGGCTACCATTTACCAGGACCCTTTTAATTCAAGACATCCAGTAAAGCTATATATATATATATAGAGAGAGAGAGAGACTGAAAAGGCCGTAGTTTTAGCACGCTGCTCTGTTCCTTCTCGTCTTCAAGCTTCGTATTTTGTTGCAGAGATTCAGAGCTTGAGAAAGCTTCGTTAATGGCGGCTTCTGTTAGATTGGAAGCTTTGGATTTGATGGTTTAAACTCTCAAGCTTACACAAGGAATAGCAGTCTCTGTTTCTCTTCATCTTCACAGCTTCTCCTATTTCTTTCTGGTACCTTCAATGGCTGCCCTGTTTCCGCCATTAAAGCTCTGTTTCTTTAAATTTGGAGTTTTTGACATACCCATTTGAAAATTAATACAAAAAAGGGAAATTTTGTTCGTTTTCTTCTCCATCCATTAATGAAATTTCTGATATTCTTGTTTTCTTTTCACTGATCTTCGCAGACATCGGAAGAACTTAAAGATGGTGATAACAGAATCAGAAATGTTGTCGCGTGATGAAGCGGAATCGCCATTGCAGTCTGAGCAGCAGCTCAAGAACAATGGATTCTCTTCCCTTGGAAGACAATCCTCCATTTACTCTCTTACACTGGACGAATTTCAGCATACTCTCTGTGAGGGTGGCAAGAATTTTGGGTCAATGAACATGGATGAGTTCCTCACCAGCATTTGGACGGCGGAGGAAAACCAAGCAGTCAGTGGAAGCCACTCCGCCGCCACTGCCGTGGCGGCTGCGGCGGCATTGAGTAATACTCAGACTCACCTGCCGGTGACCGGAACGTCGTGGGGGAAACGCAATATCGAGAAGCAAGCCAGCTTGGCTCGCCAAGGTTCGCTAACAGTTCCTTCGCCGTTGTGTCGGAAGACGGTGGAAGAGGTTTGGTCGGAGATTCATAAGAGCCATCAGGGGCAGAGTCAAAACAGCAATTCACAAGAGTCCGCCGCGCGCCAACCAACTTTTGGGGAGATGACATTGGAGGATTTTCTGATCAAAGCAGGGGTTGTGCAAGAGCCTTGCGGCGGAGCAGGAGTGGTGCAGCCATTGCAACCACCGCAGCAGTATAGTTTGTACCAGAATAGCAACCACGCCGTTGGTGGTGGTTATGTTTCAAGGCCTATTGGACTCAGTACATCTGCAGCTGGCGGTGGTAGCATTATAACTGGGTATGCTAGCAATGGTAAAAGAAACAGTTTTTATTCGTCACAGGCTCCTCATGGTGGTGGCGGAGGAGGAGGATATCCGCCTGCTCAGCCGTTGGGGATGGCGGCGCCTGTGAGTCCAGTTTCCTCCGATGGAATGTGCGGGAATCAGGTGGATAAGTCGAATCAATTTGGGTTAAGAGGTAGGAAGAGAGTGATTGATGGGGCAGTTGAGAAAGTTGTGGAGAGGAGACAGAGGAGGATGATAAAGAACAGGGAGTCGGCGGCGAGGTCCAGAGCTAGAAAACAGGCTTACACAGTGGAGTTAGAAGCAGAGCTGAACCAGTTAATAGAGGAAAATGGACAGCTTAAGCAGGCCTTGGTAAGCAACATCATGTGAAAACATTTGATGTTTTTAGACAGCAATTGCCCACTGTTGTGATTCTAACCAGATTTTGTGTTCTTTTTTTTTTGGTTTTGGAACATGAACAGGCAGAGCTTGAGAGGAAGGGAAAGCAACAGGTACCTTTCCTTTCCTTCTTTCTCGATTGTGAGAGTCCACCTTAGTTGCACTCGATTGTGAGAGTCCACCTTAGTTGCACTCGATTGTGAGAGTCCATCTTAGTTGCACTCGATTGTGAGAGTCCATCTTAGTTGCACTCGATTGTGAGATTCCACCTTAGTTGGAGAGCGGAAACCTCTTCCTATCTATATATAATTTAGGAACTTTGAGGAGAACTCGAGAAGGAACGTCCAAAAAGGACTATATCGGTTAGCAATGAATTTAGACTTGAACTGATACAAATAGTATCAGAGTCAGACACTAATTGATGTGCTAGCGAGAATATTAGGTCTTGAAGGGAGATGGATTGCGGATCCCACATCGTAGAAGAGAACAAAACCTTTTTTTATAAAGATGTGGGAACCTCTCTCTCTAGCAAAAGCGTTTTAAAAACCTTGAGAAGAAGTTCGAACGGGAAAGTCAAAAGTAGACAATATCAACTAATATTGGGCTTGAGCGGTTATAAATTGTATCAGAGTCAGACATCAAACGATGTGAGTGAAGAGGCTAGGCTAGGCTGTGTGCCAACAAGGACACTAAGTCCAAAGTAGACAATATCAACTACTATTGGGCTTAAATAGTTACAAATGGTATCAGAGTCGTGATGTGTGAGTGAGGAGGACACTGGGTCTTGAAGAGGGATGGATTGTAAGATCCCACACCCGTTGGGGAGGAGAACAAACCACGTTTTAAAAACCTTGAGTGGAATCTTGGAGGGGAAAAGCTTTCGTAACTCTGAGAGGAAATGTCCAAAGAGCTTGAGGGGACTCCCGAGAGCTCGGGGAAAGTACAAAGTGGACAATATCGGCTAGCAATGGGCTTGAATCAATCCTAACCTAATTTGTTCGATGTCTTTCTAAATTCATAGAGATTGAGCTATATACTCCATCTTTGCAGTACATCGAGGGAACAAAGAACGGTCATACGAAGGCACAAAGAGCGAAGGAAAAGCTTGGTGTTATGAGGAGAAGCTTGAGCTGCCCATTGTGAAACAAAATGGCTACCAAATGTCGTAGCCATGGTGAACACACAACCCTAAAAACTGCTGTTCCTCTTCCTTGCTTTTCGTCTGAGTTTGTCGAGGCGTTGTAAAATGAAGTAGATACAACGAGAGTAATGAAAGTAAGGTCTGGCGTTTGTGGTAAAAGAACGATAGTACTGAAATATAATAAAAAAAATGTCAATTTGTCAACGTATTATTGGTCCCGGCGGGGCTCGAACCCGCGACCTTCGGCTCATAAGACCAACGCTCTAACCAACTGAGCTACGGGACCACTTGATAATAACGGTGAATTTAAAAATATTGATAATTAAAAAGTTTGTTGGGTAATTTGAATATTCTAAACCCAAAACCACATTTGGACCAATTTGGAGGTTTTAAAAACAACCTAACATGAGCTCTAACTCAATGTCACTTTGTGCTCGTCACTAATTTAAGCATGAACGAGTGTTAGGTCGAATCTGACAACGGTGCATGATTTTTTTTTTTTTTTTTGCAAATCGTTAAGACTCTAAATTCTAAACTAATCACGTCAATTTTATCAATTAGTAACTTGAAACAGCTACTTTGTGATGGCTTCATTGAATAATTTTTACTCATTTTGTATAGCTTTCTGATAGTGGGGTAAAAAAATATGCTATCGATTTACTAAACCCGCGTACAAAATGATGAACTAAGATTTGTAAACGTCAAAAACATTAGAAAAATATGTGTTTGAACGAAGGTGGTGTGGTGTGTTTCGTAATAAAGAAATTTGTAGAATGAATGTGTATGAATTGAACACATATGAGCTTCACCAAAATCAACATCAGCCTCATAATGCTCCAAATTCCCAATCAAAACCAAAACCACATATCTTTCCTCCTAAAAATCTACGCCTCCGATTTCTCCATGTGGATTCTCTTTTCTTCATTCCTTAATTTCGACTTCACTCTTCAAATCCCTCTAAATTCATTGCCACAATCCTCTTCCATGGCGGACGGAGCTTTCGTCTAGGGTTTTTCCGCATGAGAACAGAGATTCCAGCCAGTTTCTGAAAGATGGAATCTCACCGTCCTGATTCTTTTCTTCCTCCTCCGCCGCCATTGACGGCCCAGAAAGCTCCTGTACCGGCGGAGAAAATCGGAATCGAACAGGAACTGGAGTCTCTGGCTTCGAAAAAACGCTCGGAATCAGAAGTGCAGGAGGTCGCCGCGGGTAAGGAAATGCAAGTACAGACGACAACGGCGGCGGCGGCGGCGGAGGAGGAGGAGGAGGAGGAAGGTGGACGGGAGAGGCTGAAGAGGCACCGGCGGGAGATGGGCGGCCGAGTCTGGATACCGGATATATGGGGGCAAGAGGAACTTCTGAAGGAGTGGATTGATTGCTCCGGCTTCGATGCTTGTTTATTTCCGACTGGAATCGGGTTGGCGAGGGCGGCGCTGGTTGAAGAAGGAAGAAGGGCCAACAATGGCGGATTCAGACTGGAGAACAGGTGCTGAATTTACAGTAAATTTGTTTAGGATTAATTGAAATAAAAACAAAGAAAATTCATTTCCCAAGCTCTGAAGATTATTAGTTTCCAACATTTGGGGAAGAGGAATTTGAATGGAAACACAATCAAACAAAACTGCTTTTATTTCATTATTTCATTGGCCATTTGATTTTCCATTTTATTGTTAATTAATACAATTATGAATTATTCATGCTTTCCTTCAATAATATTATTGTTTATTATTATTATTAATGTTAATTATTCTTATTCCCTTGCCATTTATTTGCATCTATTCATGATCTCTCTCTATTTTTCTTATATTTAAACTATGAAAATTTTTGAACTATGAAACTTTTTTTTTTTCTTTTTCATTCTCTCTGTCCTCTGCAAATCAATGAAATACTCTACAAATTCATTAAAATATTTTCAAATAACCCATTTTTAAATATAGTTTTGTTATATTGAAAGAAAAAACTGTATTTTACTTTTTCTTTTCTTTTTTTTTTTAAGGTAAAACAAGATTTTACAGTTTTCGTGAACATGGAATAAGCAAAATTCAAAGGGAAAAAAAACTAAATTATGTAAAAAAAAATGTGTTTACTAAAACTTGGCCACGTGTAATTTTGTGTTTTGAGTTTAAATATCCTAAAATGGTAATTTTAATTAAACATGGTTAAATTTGTTTATTTGTTTAATCGAGTTTGAAAATTATAAATTTAGTTTTAAAACTTTTAATTTAGGAAAGTTCTATCAACATAAAATTTAAATTCTTGTTAATTTTTCATCCATATATATTAAACGTAGAATTAAAAATTTATGAAAACCCACTTTTAAATATTGAACTTATAATAATTATTTAAAGTTTAGAGATCAAAAAAACACAAATTTAGAATTTTAAAAACTAAATTTTGTAATTTAACTTTAAATAATAATTTAGAATATATTTATAATTTTTTCCCGAAAGAAAAAATAGTAATTTAAAGCTTTGGATAATCAAGTCAAATATCCCAATATCAAATTCTTGGATATAAGATTCTCTCCAATAACAACTTGGATAGCTAAATCACAACCAAGCATTCAAAGTGGGCTTGGAATAACTTTTATAGGAAAAAAAAAAGAAAAAAAAAGAAAAAAAAGCGACTTTAGATCATAAAAAAAGGTACTTTTGAAGAATTTCACAATACTTGATTGGACAATCAAAATACAAAAACAAACACAGGCATTTCTATGAGAGGAATTTTCAATAACTTTAAAAGCATAAATAGTAAACAAGACTCAACAATACCATTAAAAATTTTATAACGAAGACATTAATAGATCAGTGGCCCAAAACACAAGTTCACAAAATTATGGGTACTTTTCTACTAGCTGGAAATTCACATAATTCATGATCCTCTTTGGTTACTCATATAAAAATGCTGTGACAAACATGATTTGAAAAGTTAATTCAGGGATTAGCTAACAGAAACCAGCTCCCATATCTTTATTGTACCGTCGTCGCTCGCTGAAGCAAGAAGCCTCTTCTCCTGACAGAAGTTGGATTGAAAAGGTTAGAACCATAGAACTTCGTATTTAAACCAAAACGACGATTGGGAAAAATGTGTGGCATCTCGTATGTAGTAGAGATAATAGGTGCAATAAATCATTTGAAATATCACAGACCAGCAAAAAGACAAGTTAACAGCTCAAGGCAAAGGGGTCTATAAACCTGAGGTCTTTGAACTTTCACTTGGACCGATGACGGTAAGGGCAATTCGGAAGTCAACAAAATTTTCAATGTTTTTTACTCGTTTAAACTAGCTCGTGTGTATCTCAACAACTGTTTAACTCTACAACATTTGATATCTTAAATAGGTGGTGCTGCAAGATGGTGGCTACTATAGGATTTGAGTCAACAAAAAGTAGCACCACGAAATCAAATGCGATTACTCGAAGTCCATAGATGACTATAGTTAAATTCCAGACATGAGCTAATAACTTTAAATGATAGTTAGTGTAAAACATTCTGCAGGTTGAAATAAGAGCCTTACCCCTGGGCTCCATTGCACTGAATTTACATCCATGTTGTGGGCCTTCTCCTTCTTATATAGCAACTGAAATGAAGATCCATCAACCTGCGATGAAAAGGGAGTGGTCAATATTGTTTCATTTCACTTGAAAGTTCCATAATATTTTGTATCTTGGAACTAATAGCATATTTAAATGACGCTAACATGAGCCTATCTCAATAATTAACATGTCTTTACTTCCTTTTAAGAGGTTGTAGGCCCCACATTAATATTTTTAAAAGAACAAACATAGTAACAACAGTCCAACAATCATACTAAGCTGCACCGAACCATGACAAAAAATTTTCAAAAGATACGAAATAATGATATCGTAATACACATGTCTAGATACATTATAGTACAGATGCAAGCAAATGCTAATAACAAGGGGAGGCAAGCCTCCATTACCATTTTCTCTTGATTCTCCACAAACAAACGAATAGCATCGTCAGCTGCTCCACTGGCAATTATGCCGTTTCTGTCACATTCACGTGCAAAAATGATCAGCCACATAGATGTATGGTTAAATAGAAATTACACTATAAGATGCAAAAGAAACACTGCAAAGCACAGGTAATATAAAAGTTACATAGAATAAACCCTAATACGTTACCCAATTAAAATTTGTTGGTGACAATACAGATTATTACTAAGTGAATTTCCTGCAGTGAGTACGTGCGATAAACTTTCTTTTAATATCTATGATTTTCAAGGTCAACTTGCGCACATTACAACTATTCTCACAAGACAACCACCTACTTTTACATTTGGTTGTCAACGTAACTCTTACCATGTTTGACTAGTTAAGAAACTTTTATGATAATTAATAACATAAATAGGAGGCACAGTAAGATATTTTGAACTCATGGGGATTTGGTCTAGTTCAGTTGTATTTACAGCTAAGCCGATTCCTTGAGGTGAAGTACATGTGGGGCACTTTTTTTTTCTTTTTTTTTTTCTGAGAAAACACTTTTCATCAAGACTTCCAATATACGATGATTTTGGTAACCCTTTGGTTTTTGATAATGTCTCATGTATCTATTCTTGATGAAATGAATTAAGTGTTTATTAGTGGAAGGGAGCCTTCTCTTCTCTTGATAATTTTAATTGGGGAGAAAAGGTAGCATTATATAGGTAAATAAAGCTACTCATCAACTGAGTTACGGATACATTGAAAAATGATTTTCTTGTCTTTTCTTTTCTTGTAAGAAACTGAATTATCACTGAAAAAAATGAAAGTTTGTCTTATTCAGGCTGTCAAGAGGCTCCAAAATGGAGAATAAATTAAACTAAGCACTCTACCATTATAATACTATGACCAAATTTCCGAACACCTTAATTTCTTGCTAACTACTGGAGTAATCGTCTTTAGACACGGTAGCACAAGAGAAACAAAAATCTTTCATATACCTTAAATGAAAGCCTTACACAAATAGTGTAATATTACCTTGACCAATGAACAGAGAAGATTGTTCGATCATGATTTCCAGAAAGCGTACAAGTATGCCTCCTAACAAAACCGGATAAAAGAACTATCAGCATGGTTACAGAATAACAGATGTACCATAATAATTGGAGATAAACAAAGCTACAAATAAGATGGTCCCATTAAAGAACCAACTCTTTGAGTATGCCTCTCACACTAAATTGATCCGAAACATCTATGAATGGGTGGCAACAGAAGCATGTGACATGGTACAAGTTGAACAACAGAAGAAACTAAAGGGAGTTAATAAACCCATTTAAGTATAACTGCAGAAAAAAAAGAATTATTTCCTTTGGAAATAGGAGCAAATTTCATTGAGGAATGAAAAAAGGGAGTTATTAGACCCCACCCACCGAAACATTATCACGTTGTCTGTGTATTTAGATGCACATGAAGTACTTTACTCCTGCATTATTCATGAACATGCATATACATCAAGACATTCATATGTTTATCTTTCTGTAAATTAGTCCCTCTTGTTATATGTTTATATCACCCACAATCCCACCCAAATAATAAGTAAAAAACATGGCACACAAATATTGCTGGGTGATATCATTAATTTTGTTGTAGAAGCAAAATCTTCACTAAACAAGGATTCCTTTTTAACTCCTTTGATTACAAGGTTTTAATCAAAGGAGACCGTGTCATTTAGAAAAAATGATATATATTATGAATATTTCTTACCCTACCAAGCCAATGCTTGTACTTTAAGCACAAAAAACCTACCAACCAATATATACTAACAATAAAAAATAAAAAAACATATCACATTGCACCTTGCATCGAAACTTATCAGATCAATAAGTTTCATTACTCCAAAGCCATATTATAATAATTACAATGATGAAGAAGAAGAAGATATTTTTGCATCCCTCACCATGGTGAATAGCCATCCCCAGAATGCAACCTTGTCTCATCTGTTTCCCATATTTTAAGGGTGAGGTCATCACTGCAAAACTAGACCATGGTCAAATTAGATCCACCCAATGGAATAATTTAAAACTTGGTTTGAAATCATTTCTTATTAACTCCAAATGAATGAAGAAATGGGTAATTTGAATTTCCAAGAAAATTTGAAATTTTATTGCTGCCACACACACAGCCTACCTACAGGTGACCATTTTGTCTCCAGTTGCATTGAAAGAAAGGGCCCAAACAGTAGAAGAGTGACCACTGAGAAGAAAATCCGAATCATAATCAAGTTCAATCTAGTTATACTGAAGTTAACTGCCCTGTGGAAATTATGATAGATTTGTAGGAAAACATGGTAGAAAAACGAAATAGTTATGTACTTGTTAGATTCATCTATAGTCTGAACACAGCGCCAATCATCATTGTCATCATCGCCTGCCCAAACCTGAAGTGGTTTCATCATCATAAATTAATATCACCTGTGCAAATCCAAAGTAATTTCCAAAGGCATACGAAAAAAAGTAACTGAAATAGTCTTCAAAGGCATCTAAGAGTTAGGTACCTTGATAGTGTTATCATAGCTACATGAGAATAAAAGATCCAGGGTTGGGTGCCACTGAACCATTTTTACATCTTGTGTGTGTCCTTGCAACACGGAAACACACTCATACTCGTTGCCTGGCAATACTTCCCAAATCCAAACAGTTCTATCTCGACTGCACGTTGCAAGTAGAGAACCAGAAGCATTCCAAGATACACTTTTGACCTCATTCTCATGACCCTAAAAGTCAACCAACGAGACAGTTTTTTTCAATGTACTGATACTTGGATAAGACAAGGAGAATAAAATGGCAGGTAGCAGTATTCATATACATCATCAGGAGAAAATCTTGCAATGAATAGTGACAATGCATATAATACTTGATAGGCAGCACTACCTCTAGAGTGGAAACGCATTCATAGTCACCCCCGATGTTCTCCCACATAGCTGTGGTGGCATCAAAGCTTGCAGTAGCCAATAACTTTCCGTTCGGTGACCAAGAGCATGACCTAACAGTTCTAGTATGCGTTTCTTCCAAAACTGCCTGTAAACAACACTACATTAGCATTCCAGCTCCTAATGTCAATCACCGACATATAAAACTGCAAAATAAACAGAACGAATTCTTGGAAGATGAGGCACTTCCTTAGATGCAAACTTGAGTTGGTTCGATTAGTCATCTAATCCAAATATTTCGTGAAAACGTCATAGTAAAAGAACTGCCAACTCAATGAACAATTTCCACTAAACTAAAGTGATTCCATCCAGGTTAAAATCCAATACCACAAGAACTACTCTAATAATAATCCATTTAATACAAATTTACAGATGAAATAGAACCTTGCAATTCCACGAACCAGAGGAAGGACTTTGCTCCCAGATACGAACGGTTTTATCGCCGCTGCAGGACGCAAAAACAAGTGGAATTCCTTCAGTTCCGGTGGCGGGATTCCAGGCCAGACTCCATACCCGATCAGTGTGACCTTCAAGCTTTGCAGTCTCCTTGAGCTCGAATCGGCCATCCCAAAGCTCCATCACAAGAATGGTATTCCTTTCCCAAATCGCCGGCAAAGCAGGAAGATTATCAAGCCCTAGCTCCACGCAGCCGGAGATTCTGGAACTCGACTTTAATGGCCGGCGAAGGGATAAGTACGCGCCGCCGCGGGTTCTCTCCTCAACGTGTCGTCGGCTTACAGAGATTTAACGCTTTAATGAAGCAAGACAATGATTTCACGGCTCTATTGAAATTGGAAATTGAAAATATGTATGATCTAATAATATTGCATATTAAATTAAATTACATTAAAAAAAAATCACTATGATATAAAATTGATAGGATTTAAAATAAGAAACTATATCTAAGATTTTATTAAAATTTTCGAATATTAACAAAGTTCTTCCTGTTGGATGATGAAAGTCCCATATCTTAATTTAGGGAATGGTCATGGGTTTATAATCTAAGAATACACTCTCCATTGGTATGAGGCCTTTTGGGGAAGCCCAAAGCAAAGCCATGAGAGCTTATGCTCAAAGTGGACAATATCATACCATTGTGGAGAGTTGTGTTCGTCTAACATGGTATCAGAGTCATGCCCTAAACTTAGCCGTGTCAATAGATTGGCAAATCCTTAAATGTCGAACAAAGGACTCCAAAAGGAGTCAAGCCTCCTCGAAGGTACGAAGGCAGTCAAAAATGACTAAGACTCCAAAGGAGTCGAGCCTCGATTAAGGGGAGGCGCGCTTTGTTCGAGGGGAGGTGTTGGATGATGAAAGTCCCATATCGGTTAATTTAGGGAATGGTAAGTAGGGTTGAGTTGGGTTGGATTATAATCATATTTTCAAGTTAGTTGATCGATAACCTACCAATAGAATCAAATTTTCGATTTTAAAATATTTAACTCAACCCGAGTTTTTTTTAAAAATCTAACACAAGTTGTTGAGGATTGTTGGGAGAGAGTCTCACATTGGCTAATTGAGAGGATGATCATTGGCATTTTGGGAAAACTCAAAGTAAAGCCAGAAGAGCTTATGCTCAAAGTGGACAATATCATACCATTGTTGAGAGTCGTGATTCTTAACATGGTATCAGAGCCACGCTCTGGGAAGTGTACTTTGTTCGAGGGGAGGATTATTGGAAGGAAGTCCCACCTAGACTAATTTAGGAAATGATATAATGAATTTATAAGTAATGAATACATTTTTATTGGTATGAGCCCTTATGCTCAAAGTGGGCTCATACCATTGTGGATAACAAATAAGTGCTCGGGATCACGGGTCAATAGTGCAATAATGCAAGTATCTATTAAAAAAAGGTATCGAATTGAAAGGTAACTTTTAAGAATTTGAAATTCAACCGTGATGATGACATTTTTGTACTTTTTTTTATTATTTTTTTTGGCAACTTGGACACCACTTGTTCTAACCTTCTTTTAATGGTAATATTTTGATATAGTTCTATATACTTTAGATTTATTATTTTTTAAAATCACATAAAATAAATTATAATAAACACATTTTAAATTAATAAATTTTAAAAGTATTTATTAGAAAATTAATTTGGTTCAAGAAAAACATTTTTTTATGGGTTATTCCAAAGACGACATTAGGAGGAGGAGTATTCTACTAAACCGAAGCGGTTCAACAAGACCGATAACGGTTATTCTAGAAATTCAAACCGGCCCATTGCGGTCAAGTTCCTTACAGTTCGCCTTCGAGAAATCAAGCAACTCCATTCCCATCTTCTCTCAACCAAAGGCGCTAGAAGATTTTGCTAACCCTAACGCTTAGATCAGAAGGCAAAGAAACATCGACAATGAATTCAGCAGCTCCAAGAAGCGGAGGCCTTTTCGAAGGTCTGTACAGAGTGATTATGCGCCGTAATTCTGTTTACGTTACCTTCATCATCGCCGGTGCTTTCGTCGGGGAACGGGTAATGTTGTGTACCTCATTTTATGCTAATTTATGTCTGTTATGTTATTATTTTCTTTTCTTTTGGATTTTCAATTCGTTAATTTCGTTTCCGCGTTTGATCTGAGGATCTAGTTTTTTGCAAATTACTAAATATTGGTACTAAACTGCCTGATTGACTGGTCATGTTCTCGCTGATCCATGAAAAAAATTCAACGAACAGCTTGTTCATGTGTGGCCGCCGGCGAGAAGAAGTGGGTGGAACTGTATTGAAATTTATGGTTTATCTGCACAAGGAGAATTGATTAGGAGTAGAGGATTCATATATTGGTTTCTGGCATCAATTGAAAAGTCCGGTTACACGATTGATTCAAAATATAATTATGAATTGCTTTCACGATTGTGTGCAGATTCTTAATTTATGGTGCAGATTCTTAATTTATGTAAAGTAACTTAGTATGTTTTCTTCATGTATGGAAATGCGGAATTCGGCCATTATTTAGTCTGCTTACAATAGAAAAGGACTTCCATTTTTTATTTATTTAAATTTTACACGATAATAAAAAGTGGAAGTGGTAACCAAAAAAAAAAAAACAACATAAGGACGTTTCTTCGTTTGTTCTATGCATTAATATGTAATGGGCCTGAGCATCTTAAATTGTAGTGTGGGACTTATGAGTTGCTTGGGTTTGTGTTGTTACTTTAAGTTTATGGTATCTTATTTTTACCTTAATGCTTGGATTTCCATTGGTGCAGGCTGTGGATTATGGAGTTCACAAGCTCTGGGAGTACAACAATGTCGGGGTATGGAAGCTACCCACATACATGATTTACTTTGTTTTTTTATTTACACATTTCACATAGACTATCATTTTGGCTTTTATTGTGTTCTCCAAATCCAGAATGCTTGATTTTTTATTCTGGATGTTTTGGCTCCCATTTTCTGTTATCCGCTTCAAATTATCTAAGTTTCAGCTTCTATTTGTGGTTATTGTGTTGAAGATTATGGCATTGCAGAACCTTTGCATTTTCATGATCTCTTCTATTGCATCATCTGGTTTAAAATGACTTCCAGGTGTAATGCATCAAGATGCATATGAAACTCTCATATTTTTTTTAACACAAGCAAGCTATTTGGACTTGTCAGATTTGTTCAAATGCCATTCATTATTCGGTACAGATTGAATTTGGAAATGACAATAAAGCAGTACTTATTTCAGATTTCATCTGTTGTGTTTTCGTTCTTCCTTATTTTTAAAAATCGTTCTTTGTGTTCTTAAGTTTTGGAAAGTCTTTTACAAGGTTGAGGCTGTATTAGAATTTTCGTGGGATAATTATAAACCACACCTACGCAGTCTGTCTATTCAATGTCCTCATGGTTCAAAAACAATTTTTTTATAAGCACTTAGACTTTTGATTGCTGCTTTTTACTTGTTTGTTAAGTGGGTTGGTTCCTTTTACTTGTATGTTGTATGTTAAGTGAGCTGTCAGTAATGAATAACGCTGAGTCACTAAAAACATTTTCCCAAGTTGGTTTGAATCTAAAAGGTCTTAAAGGAGCCAACCTAAGCATAATTAAATGGTTAAGGTATTATATCCTCAATCAAATGGTTAGATGTTAGAATCCTCACTCCCACATGTTGAACTAAAAGAAAAAATCTGAAATGGAACGTCTATTTTTTCCATGACGTCCATTAAAGTTGCTGCTAGTTGGTGAAGAAGGGCTGTTAGAGTTGCCAAACACAGTGGCAAAGTAGATAGCATTTATGACTTCTCATTCTTACTTACGGATGTCCTGCTTAGCAGATAGGTAAATTGGGAGGAAAAACATAAATTAAGGGTACATAAAACTGTTCTTAAGATTAAGGGTGGGATTTACATGCTAGGCAAATTATATAAATGTAATTTGCAATCATCGCCATATTTTATTTGTTTTCTTTGTTTTCCTCCAATTATATGTTGATCTATAATATCCATCCTTGTTCTACTACAATCTTGCTTTGAAAGAGATGTCTTCCCGCACAAGATGCTACTAAACAATTTTTGTTTTGATCAATAGCTTTCTGAACTCGTTCCCAACTCTATTTTGATATATGACGGTCTTACAATTGTGCAGAAACGGTACGAGGACATTTCAGTTTTGGGGCAAAGACCAACGGAAGAATGAATTTATTAGCCGCTTGAAAGCTACACATTCATGGATTGAAGAGGTAAAAACTGGTGGCTTAGGATGATAAATGAGAATGTATTTCCAATGGGAAAAACGTTGTCTTTTTGACATGGAACATTTGTGTTTCTTCATGAGATTCTAATCATATTTTATTTGCTTGAGTTTGGAGTTACAAGCTTTTGTGCATTATATTTGATCATCGATAATAGAGGATCTGGGTTATTGGGATTTTAGCAGTGGCATAGTTGCAATGACTTGGGTTCTAGTTTATGAAATAGAGGGAGTTAGATAACTTAGATGATTGAAAGAATTTTGGCAAATTAGTCCTGGGTGGGTTAAGATTTAAGCCTCTGATCTAAAAGCGAGTACACGTCAATTACAACGACGATCAATTTGGTAGAATGAGAAACTATAACAATTTATGCATTTGATTCTCTTTTTTAAGTATAAGCTTGAGAATTGAACCGTGAAATTGGTTTTCTACTGAACAATAAACGAACATATCAAACATGGTCTAAAAGAACCAACCCGAGTGGTGAACTTTGGTTCGGTTTGTTGGTTTTTGTCAGTTTTTTTACTGTCCTGCCTAAAACCAACCTTTAAGCTTATAAATACCGTAATTCTACTTCGACTTGAATTTATTTGCTTTCTAACTCCAAGCTAAGTTTTGGGAACATCGTTTTAGAAAACGCACAGCCAAAGGACAGTCTGCTATCAATTTACAGATTCTTCTGTTGAATGTGGAAGCCAAACAAGTAATGCAAATTATTCTGTGCTATATTTTCAATTTGGATCATTTAATTTTACAGCGTTAAAAGGATAAAAGAGGATAAGAACGACCAATTCTCCCAGCCTGCCCCCATCATTTTTTTAACGTAGTATATAATTATTATGCAGTCTAATCCTAAAAAAGAGAACTTTTTATGAAGCAGAGTCAGTCTTCAGCAGTCTCCCACAACGGAGGTTCAAGTTCACCAACCAAAATTAAAAGCGAACCACATACCCTGCGAGCTAATCAACAGCTTGATCAAATCTCAGTGATTTTGTGAGCATGGGATGTTGTCGAGACCTTGAAATCATGGATCTACAAAAGAAATAAACTAGTGAGATAAAATTAAGATCAGACACTGATGTGCTCCTTCATATAAAGAGGGTTTACTGAGCTGTAGTAAACAAATTAACAGGGCAGTGCAAGCTCTTGGACTATTCAAGAGGTCGAAGGGTCAACTTGTCTGAACCTCTACACTATTTGCACCAGATCACTGGCTAACCCTACTACATTTAGTTGCAAAAAAAAAAACTCTTAGGTCGTATTACTTGTGTACCCTTTGTGTATTCTTAACTCACATCTATTTTGAAGTAAAAAAAGATTTGAAACTAAGTTATATTAACTATCCAGTCTCTTCATGTTCCCTCCCTTCTTCCTAGAGTACGTGTTTGAATTATATAACACTTCATCTCAATCTCAATGTTGGTCATAGCAAACATTCACAAGACTTCACAACATTTTAGGAATTATTTTTTAATTCAACAAAACGTGGGGTGGGGAGATTCAAACTTCTAACCTAGAGATCAAAAGTATGTCTTAACTAGTTGAGTTATGCTCTAAAAATGAGCCCAATTATATTCTTCTCTTCTTTCATTTTTCATCTAATCGTATAGTCTGTTCTTTTATTTTTCATCTAATCGTATTGTTGGTTCTCTGCCTATTCTATGAAGTCTACCTGCTCCAAAAAAAAAAGTAGTCTGAGTATTTCCAAAAGTCAAAACAAAGACCTAACTAAGCAAGTTTTTGGACTATGAAGTCAAGGAAGTTTCTCTCCTTTCATTTTACACCTTCGGGGTATAATTCTCCTGACAGATAAATCACCAAACCTATCTACCCGTCAGTAGTAAAATTATCAATGAAGAAAAATTTGCAGTCTAATAGCCGTTGCATTATGTAAAAATTATGGACAGAAATATTAATTTCATCCTTATAGCCTGATCATTACGGTAAGTGCACATAAACAGAAAATACAGCTTCGCAAGCTCTATGACAATTCAGTGATTAAAGAGTGAGATACAATACCCTACCAATTGGCCAGTCCTCTAATCTGACTTTTCAATCTCTCGGAATTTCCTTTCCCATTCTTGGAGCTCATAATTTTGTTCGATTAAGTCTCGATCAGTACTATATACAATTCGATCCTGACCAATCACAGTTCTTTGGGCCATGTCTCGGGCACTGAGGAGCTGATAAGATTGTACAAAGAATTAGATTCTCTGATGAAACAAAATTGCTGCAGAGGTAAGAGATTAAGAAGCAGGAATTGAAATAGACATCATCAGAGTACTAAAATGACGCTAAAACAGAACACTGGGGAGGAGAAAAAGAAACAAAATAGAGCTTTGTTCATATGGTACTTTCTTCTTAAATCTGGCACCAATCCGCTCCTAAAACAGATGATCAGATCTACTGAGGAGCAAACTTCTTTTGGTGATATAAATATTACTTACCTTGCGCCTGAGTGACACATCTGGCAATTCAAGGGCTTGGGCAAGCTTTTGCCTTGCTTGGTTTCTTTTTCCTATTTCAGCATTTCTCTTCTGGGTAATGAACCACCGGACCAATGGAATTGCGAAGAAAGAACCAGCATATATCTGCATAGTTTTCTCATAATTATAAAAAAGAATAAAATCATTGGACAACTTTTTTTTTTACCCAAGTAAATAAATGGCGTTAAAGAAATTTCTGAATTTTGAAGTTACAACAAACCAAACCTGCAGTAGAGGAAATATATCCGATACAAATTTGATAAGTCCACTTGGTTTAACGGCAACATCCCTTCAAAAATGGAATTGGGGAAAATTATTAGATTTTTCAGAAACCGTGACCGAAACAATCCAGTCTAAATATCCATACTTCAACATGGCTCCAAGGACTATAACACCAAACAGATTAAGCCCTCCCAATCCAATGGCCATTGCTCTCTCTGAATAACTTGTTTTACTGCAGACAAAAAAAAGTCCTGGTCATTAAGTAAATTTAAATTATACTCCCAAACAAGACGAAGAAACTTAACCACGGTACCTGAAGACCCATTTCTTCTCTTTGAAAAATTTCTCAATCCCTCCAACCCAGTCAGCCCATTTTCTACCCACATACTCCTTCCTTCCACTCCGCTGAGAAGAAGCTGTGCGCTGAAGGGAGGGAAATCGATATAGAATATTTCCCTATAAATAAATAACTTTTAGTGAATATTTCATATATATGTTTTATAGAAATCAAAGTGACATGTCAATAAACAGAGCGCAGAAGAGGATAGGCAACACTTTAGGAAAAAATACATAAAGTTATGAAAGTTTCCCATAGAGAATATTAAAAGTACATTATAAACACCAAATTTTATAGATTTTACATATTTATACTAACAATAAGGTTACCCCTAACATGTTCAAAACCCTTTTTGTTTTCCCTCAAAATTTAGCTTATTGTTTCTACCCAGCCATGATTGTGAAGCTGATATTGCACCTTGCACACTTCCAACAAATCCTTTTTTACTGGCAACTACTCTCCAAAAATATTCTATCAAATAATAAAATTTCATCCAACATTAATAGCTTAAGCTTTTAGGGCTAACTTTAATTTAATATAGAATTAGAACAAAATGTCTAAATTCACATCATGCAGTACTATTTCATTCTTCATTTTCAATAAAACCATATCATTGATTCATTACATAGCTTTGTATTAGCATACCACTTCAAGGCTCAAGGTAGAAACTGACTTATGTTCATATATTATTGACCTCAAATATGGGTAACTAGAGCTATTTGTACCCATTCAAGCATTTCATACCTCGTTAAACATACCTCTTCATCAATCTCAGGTTGGCCATCAAAACGTAAAAGAACTGGCAAAATGTATGATTCATCATCCTGCAATCACAAGAGGATGAAACAAAGTCAAATAGAAAAATTAGATTTGAATTACAATAAAATATGAGTTGATTCTACCCATCAAAATGTCAAATAGCCACCAATCAATGATGGTTGGCAACCATGACCAAATTATTCACATCATTGAGAAGGCACCAATTCTTAAGGTCAATTTTGCTAAGTTCATTATGGTTGGTATTGACTGACATTATCAAACGTGAAAGAAGTGACTGATGATTTCAAGTGAGAAGTTGGTGACTGGTCCCTCAGTACTTGGATCTCCCCTCTTTTGAGAAATCCCAAATCTTAAGATATTCTGCATGACTGCTTTGGACTCTTGCAACCTTAATAAGTGGAAGCATGCTGAAGGGTGATCGGAATTGGAGCACCTCAACCAATTAATCCAACTACTTCTACTCTATCCTTAAAACTTCCAGCAGGGTTTAAAAGGATATAGACAAAATCTTGAGGAATTTTAACAGTAAGGAGTCTAAGGACCTAGCATGTAGACAGCTCCACGGCATAGTATTATAATCAGCTACTATGGTGTTGTTCCTGAGAATTGGATTTTGTGCTGTTGTTCTTTGTCAACGTTGAAAAGCCCTTGGAAATCAATTATCAGTCTTAGCAACATTATAAAGGAGAGGACTCTTTTTATTTGGGTAAAGGTAGAAAGTGCAGATGTTGGGAAAACCTCTGCAGGGGCTTTAAGCCTTCTTTGACGCCTGCCAAAGAACAATGTATAAAGTCTAACATTAACTTACTGTGTTCCCCTCTGTCACATCCAGATAAGGTGCAAGCTCTTCAGCAGTTACAACACCACCGTTGGAGGTGATGTATTGCCCAATCTGCAAGTATAGCTCAAAATGTTAACTGATATCAATAGTTAGATATACATATGATGTCTACAAACTACTCTTAGATAACAATTATAACTAGCTTTATGTTACAGAAAAGTGCAAAAAGAAAAAAAAAAGGCTGAGATTGACTTAGTGGTACATGGTCGATGATAATGCAAAGAAAGTTTCTCCTTAACTCAATATAAGCATGACAATGGGGCAAAAATGAAGCCAATATTAACAAAAAAGTGAACAGTGATGATCTAGAAAGATTACGAAATTAGCATCCATGTCAAAAACTTTGCAACCGGCTTACTGACTTTTGCTTCTTTTTTGTCCTACATTATTATGTAAATTGACCCCACAAACTCTTTTCTAATAAACAGAAAACTGAAAACATTAAATGTAACTTCATAATAAAACAGGGGAGTCTTTCGAGGAGCAATAATCGTGATAAAAATTCATACTGAGAAAGGTCATCCAAGAGAGGAAAAAGTTAAAAGCAAGGAAAAGGAACACAAAACTGAAAACCCCTTCAGAACGAGGGAGTTCGTTGAGAACTAAGACATTAGATTCATGTAAAAATTTCGACTGGAAAAGGCAAGAAGAAAAAAAGAAAATAAAATATTGAAAGTAACGGACCACTGAACACAGTCCTCAAATATTACCAACTTCCATCTCTCTTCTTCAATTCCTTGATTTGGATCCCCGTCGCCGAAAACAAATGAGAAAATCTAAAACAAGGCCATTTCAAAGTTAACATTTAAATCTGAGCTAAAGCAGAACAGGATTGTAATAAAGACTAGAGATCATTTAATCACATACAGATTCAATAAAGTTCATCTTATTATCTTCTGTTTGTAGTCGACGTCTCCTATAGTAATATGGATCCCAGTACCTTACACAAGGCAAACAGGATGAATGGCCAAAAGTCCTCTAAAACAAAGTTGTCAATTGTGTGAAAAAGAAAAAACATATTACCAGAAAAGATCGGTCGGACTCAAATAGAATGTGAATCCTGAATCATATGATCTGCCACGTCTTCCGCGATTATCCTCTTCACTGTATCATTAAACTTGAGTCAATAATTTGAAGTTACCTCAAACCAGTACTCTATATTATTCATGATCAAGGATTGTAAAAAAAATTCACTATTGAAAATAAAATGCGAACCTTCTGCTTGAAATAAGAGCAATAATTGTAGTATATACAAGAACGATTGAAGCAATTAGTGCCGTACCAAATGAAACCCTGACAAGATATTCAGCAGCCGCCTGAAAATTGAGTTAAGACTGCCGTTACAACACACAAAAATTGTTCCCTAAGACCAAAAATTCAGTGATAAACCCAACATTCCCTGACCGATACCTTGGACTTTTCTATGAGAGGTTCAAATTTTATCCAAAACGATTTAGCTGCAAGCTTTGAACGATAGTCTTTGGGGAAAACATAGAGAACGTCGCCCTCATCAGAAACCTGTTAAGAACATCTTGAAAAATTTTGCAGTCACAAAATTAAGAACTTCAAAATGCCTGTAGTTTACATTTACAGTCTACAGATATAACAAAACTAGTTTTTCCTTTCGTAATCTCCGGTGGAAGATGAACTACTCTTACATATCCAATGCAATGTTATATTTGGTTAGCGCCAAAATTTACATGCAACTCTATGAGTTTAACAACAAATACCTCTAAAAAGCCATTGGTATCAGCAGCTAGAGCCTGCAAAGCCTTCTGAGCTTCATTGAGCTTAAGTCCCGCCCTGCTTGCAACGTCTCCAATGGTTACTCTCCCTCCACACGCGTCCACAGCCTCCATCGCTCTTTTTCTCACATCCGACGGCAATTTGTCGCTCTCCACTGACCTTCCAGGTCTGATATCGGAAGGAATGTCAATGCCCGCTCTCACAACTGGAACCGAACCCCTTGCCCTACAGTCTAGCGGCGAAATCCGCGTATGAATGGCCGTAAAAGTAACGGGAGAGGGCTTTAAGCAAATTGAGGGTTTAAGAGTGATGAGAGGGTGGAAATAGAAGCGAGAACTCTGTGAAATGGCGAAAGAAGTGGAGATTGTCGCCATGATTCGCAGAAACTTGAGGAATTTGAATAAAGCTTTCAAGAATTGGCCATGGAGATCGAAATAGGTGCAGTGGGTGACAATCCTACGGTGAGTGGCTCTGATTTGGAGGCGACGGGATTGTTTTTCTTCAATTCTTTCTCCACCCTTTTGTTCTTCAACGCGTATCTCAATCAATTACCCGGGAAAATAAGTCGACACAAACATTAAATAATCGTGTTATCATTGATATACAAAATTAGCTTAATTTACATAATCCAAATGATAATAGAAATAACCGATATCTATAAATTCAAAAAAAAAAAACACTAATATAGTACCAGCAAAACGCATGGTTGGTATTCTACTCTTATATGGATTAAGTTTACATAACCTAACTCGATCACAATTCTCAAAATATCAAATAATTTGTTATAAGCTATCCGCTTGAATTTAAAAGGGTTTGATCGGCTAAGCTTAACTTTTGAGTCTTAACCTACGAGGATAGGCTTGACAAAGGCCTTTGAGCATTTTGGGTTGGACTTAATCTAAGCCACGAGTTCGACTCGGTGTTGTTTGCGCTTTACTCGGGACTATTCCAAGCCTATTTACGAGATTTCATGTTGATAGAAGTGGAGAACGAAATACTCTTTATAATAGTGTAAAAAATCTCTTCCTACTGACGTGTTTTAAAAATTGTGAGGCTGACGGTAATATATAATGGGTCAAAATGAATAAAATCTGCTATGATGAGTTGGACTTGGTGGTTACAAATGGTATTAGAGTCAGATACCAGTGTGTGAACGAGGACATTAGGGCTCAAGGAGGTAGATTGTGAAATTCCACATTGGTTGGAGAGGAGAATGAAACATTCCTTATAAAAGTGTTGAATTGTACCCTAATAAACATGTTTTAAAAACCATAAAATTGACGGTTATACATAATGAGATAATGAGAGCGTAATAGAGCTAAAGTGGACCATATAAACTTTAGAAAATAAACAAAAAAAAAAAATTGAAAAAGGTAAAATATGCCATTTGTTGGGCCCGGCCCACGGGATAGCCCAACTTGGGATGTTGCGATTTGGGCCTATCTTTCAAGATTCAGCCCAGATGAGAGCCCCAGGCTTGAAATTTCAGCCCATCTTAAAGAGTGGCTTGTGGCGACGCCATGGAATTGGATTCGCGGGGAAATAATATGCTCAACCGTCACCGAGGCCTTACAAACTCTACTCTCTGCAACAGAACATTGAAATCGCTGAAGAAAAAATGCTCCACTGCAACCATTTCGTCCTCTCGTTTGGATCTTTAAGTCCTCAATCTTCGAGAATTCGTCACCGATCGTCTTCAAGCTTCATCTTCGCTGATTCTACGGTCAAGGATAGCACTGCAGTGGCTTCTTCACAGTCGCGAAGGACCATTTCCTCCCAGGAAGCTCGAGTTTCTCTTGTTTTTGCTCTCGCTTCCCAAACATATTCTCTCTCTCAGCGCGGTAATGTTTCATTATCTTATTTGGTAATTGATTGAACTCGAAGATATAGTTGTTGTTCTTGTTTAATCCGCTATTTTTTCGGTTGTTCTGCAGTCTTGTTGGAATTGGCTTCAGAAACTTCAAAATACTTGTTGCCTAAAAGGTTCGAGAGTCGGAACTTAGAGGAGGCTTTGATGGCAGGTATTTATATTTTTGTTTGTACTGTGTGATAGGTTGTGAATTTCTCACGTGCGAGTTTTGTCCTGCGATTTAGCTCTAATGTAGTGTAGTTCGTATTTCTGTCTCTTATTATTATTTTTAGTTTATTAATTCGTGTTGATTTAATCTAGTTCCTGATCTCGAGACTATGAAGTTCAAGGTCTTAAGTCGAAGAGACGAATACGAGATAAGGGAGGTTGAGGTATAATTTTCTACCTCCTCAATTTACCTTTGTACACACTCATTGCTTCATTGCTAAACATTATATCGACTTATTCTAAAAATTAGAAACTGTGGCAATGATCTGTTGAGCAGCCTTACTTTATAGCGGAAACAACCATGCCTGGAAAGAGTGGATTTGATTTCAATGGCGCATCTCAATCCTTCAATGTCTTGGCGGGGTACCTTTTCGGTAAGGTAGAGCATCCAAGATGAAATTTGTTAATCTTGATCTCTCTTTTTCATCCAATATTAAATCTGGTCGTGATGCTAGAACACGGCTAAAGAGAAAATGGAAATGACAACACCTGTTTTGACGAGCCAAACCAAATCTGATGGGGAAAAAATGGATATGACAACCCCTGTAATTACGAAAAATGTAAGTTCTTCAGATGTTGACACCAGTTAGACATCTTTCCTTCATTCTCGTATTCAAATATGGTATTTATGTGTTTCCATTTTGAAATTGTAAATTTTTTGTTCCATCCTTGTTTTTTCAGGTCGATGGTAAAGATCAGTGGAAGATGTCATTTGTAATGCCCTCCAAATATGGTCCAAACTTGCCAGTGCCCCAAGATAATTCTGTTAGGATTCAAGAAGTCCCAAGAAAAATTGTTGCAGTTATAGCCTTTTCAGGTCTTTTCTATTTAATCTAGAAACTCGACTCTTTCTATGTAGAATACTTCATTGAAAAAATTGCACCATTTCATAGTCTCCAAGCATATTGCTGGAAAAGTTCAAATTCTTTGAACAATTACTTACTAAATTCTTTGAACAATTACTTTCTATGTTGCTGATAGTGAGATGACATTTTCAGGAGCCTCGATCAAATTTTTTTACGCAAATCAACTATGTTTCTTACTATTATTATTATTATTATTGATTGTTCAATTAGGTTTTGTCACTGATGAAGAAGTTAAACGAAGAGAAACTAGGTTAAGGGATGCTTTGAAGAACGACCAGGAGTTTCAAGTTAAAGCGGGTAGTTTTGTGGAGGTAGCACAGGTATTATGATTATCCAAGATAAGTAATATCTTTGTTTTTTCATAATGCATGCTTTGCTTGCTTTTTGATAGTTGCTAACTCTCTATGTATGCGGTTTGCAGTATAATCCACCCTTTACTCTTCCATTTCAACGTCGAAATGAGATTTCACTCGAAGTTGAGAGGAAAGAAATATAGCAGCATCATTACCATCATACGATCTCGAAATTCACCTCTGCTGTATATTCCCATTTTACTCATATTATGGATTGTATATGTGTGTATAAATGTCACTTTCACTTATAAATAGAGCTCCATTAGGTAATGGATAGTGCACTAATGGAACTCAATACTATAGATTTGAACATGCCAGTGGCTTCAATATTTCATCCCGGTCTACCTCTCAGATATAATGGTTTAGAATGTCCATTAACCTTGGAGTTGGATAAATGCTGATACACTGAACTTCATGTTTATTCTGCGGGATTATATCCATTACAACAAACTAAAGAATGTGGAATGATATGAAGTTGAAATACCTCATAATTGTAATATCCATTGGATTGGAAAACCAACTGCTACTCCAATTGTGCTGGCTGGCCCAGAATTCAAATGTGAGCTTCGATTTTAGGAATAGGTTGTTTTTGTTATATAATTTTGACCTTGTTCATTGAATTGGCAGTTTCAGCATGGAATGGTTTTTAGATACAGCAGCATAACTAGGTGAGACAGAAATACAACGAGGACTTTAATTCCGTATTTGGGATTTGTGATCTCAAACCTCTGTCTACCCTATATTTTCTCCAACATAGCTTGTTTATTCTGTTTGTTATTCTTATCTTTGTTTTGGTTATCATAACTAGAAACTACAGAGACTATATTCTTTAAATTATTAGGAATGAACTCCTGAAAAATTATAGCTTCAGGTTTCTAGCTTGTTTACATCAAAATGCAATGAACTCCTGGGAAATTCTTCATTCCTACGCAGGTTCCTAGCTTCAGGCTTTTATTACCAGTTCATTCCTTACCTCACTATTTCCCACCTCGGGATTAAAAAATCTAACTTGCTTCTTGTTAGCTCTAGGAAACTGAGGTGGAACGAAATAGCAGGTTCGCATCCGGCTGGAGATGACTAGAAGCAGCTTGTAAGACATTGCGTAGCCATGACAATCCGACTCCACCTGGTGAGAACTCGTATGGATGTTCCATTTCTTCTTGTTTTATTTACCGACTTTGTTCACATTTTCCCTTATAGCCGAAGTGTTAGTTACTCGTACTGCCTGTGAATGCTTAGCTGGAAATCCTATTTGGATAGTTCTTTTAATATATATATATATACATATATAAAAGAAAATAGGCTCCCACCCCAACCTCTTAGAGCACTAACAGAGAGTAGTTCAAAGCACAATTCATGTTCATATGCTTGATTAAAAACAAATCTAGGGGGAAAAAAAAGAGAAAAAAAATAATAGAATGGCATTAAAGTCATTTGAATTACTTATGACATATTAGTATTTTTCTTGTAGGATTGAGGATGACGAGGGTGTCTCAACTCTATATCATACTTGTGTAATCCCTAACTCTTCAATCTTTATTTGCAAAAGTGTACTTATAGAGTAGAAAATATACTCAACCATTATTCGTGAATTTCCTGGTCATTTTTTACGAATTTCAGTAGTTTAATAGTTTAGAAAAAATTGTAAATCTGATTTCTTTTTTCAATTGAAATTAGTTTTTTAAAAAGGTTAGTCAAAAATGAAAAAAAAAAAAAATAGAAATTGGGTAAGAGGATAGATAATAATAGAGGCCCAATTGAAATTAGTTTCATTACAATTTACAAGCAACATACGACATGTAGTTCGAAATGCACAGGCGACGTAAAGAAAGTGACGATATGTAGTTTCATGTTGAGGGATAGCAAATAATCCGATCCACACGCACAGGATAAATAGGAAAAGAATTCTAAACTAGAGTACTTGTCAGATTTCGGACCACCTATTATTAACTTAATATATTTTTGCTCAATTTACGCCTGCAAATCACGTGCTTAACCTTTCCAGCTTCCGGAGACAAGCAGCAGGTCAGAATCTGGAGCGGAAAAATGGCGGGAGCTCTGAATTTGTCATCAACTCTGTTCTTAAGACAACTTCCGAGCACTAAAACCCCGAAAAGCTCAATCTCTATTCGAGCGACCTCACGGCCGTCTGAGAGTTCTTCAACTTCCGTGGGGACTAAAGAAAACGAAAACGTAGGGTTTTCATCTTCATTTTCTCCTCCGACCAATTTCAAGCCACCGGAGCCTAAGCGTTTCGGCGTCAGACCGGACAAGATTTTTGATGTCTTGGGCGCTTCTCTTGCCTTGGTATTTAGGCTTGGTACTGGTATATTTGTCTCTGGGTATGAAACTTTCTGTCAATTTTATTTCTAAATTTTAAAAAGTTTAGTCCCTTTTTTTTTTTCTTTTAATTTTTCGTTTAAAGTCGGTAATATGGCCTTTCGTATTGCAACTACGCTCAGAATGAGCTTTCAGTAACATAACTCTCGTTGAGTGTGACCATGGATGCTTGGAAGTTGGAATGTTCTTAATGGGCTTGCTTTTATGCTGTATTTTGCTAGGTATTCGGCATCATTGGTTCCCAAAAATGATTTTCCCCCAGACAAATATGCTCTTGAAATTGCTGGTAACTACTCTTATTAGTTACTTTTTTGGTTGATTAGCTGCAAGATGTTTATCTTAGAATCTTTTCACTTAAATATGTGGAATTCCAATTGTCTTATGAAAATAGTATAGTTGAGGTGTGCAAGTTTGTTTGGACGCTCACGAATATAAAAGAACGTGGAATTCACAAGTTTCTTTTTATCTATTTGAACTAGTTCGAGATTGATTTGCTCGTATGACAATTTTTATAACCAAAAGCTATGATCATGGAGTAGAATCTTTTGAACTGATGTCTTTGCCTGCAATCTGTGCCACTTGTTAAATTAATAATAGGTTTCAAGGTCAAAGAGACTTCTAAGTTGGGACCTCGTCCCACGAAGCCTATTGAGATATATGAGTTTGAGAGGTATTTGTGTTTCAAAGCCTAGACTGACCTTCTTTTTGTTCAAATTTTGACGTGTTATGAATTCACTATGATTGAGAATAAACTAACTTCAATCTTTCTTTTTATTACCATCTCAATTCATGGATTGTCATCAACGGATACAGTTGTCCATTCTGTCGGAAGGTAATTTTACTCCAAAAGAACTTTATCAAATGAAGGATCTTGCATTTCCTTTTTTTTTTTTTTTTTTGGG